GTTGGTGGCAGCGCTGCGGGCCGTCACACGCTGGACGAGTACTTCTTCGGGTGCGGAGAGGTAGATGAAGTGGATAAGGATCGTGCGGTCGTAGTATCCGGCTACGCGGATGACGTCTCTGTACTTGCGCTTCAGCGCAGAGCAGGTCAAGACCACTCCGTCAGAGCCCGCGGACAGCTGGTTGCGGGACTCCTCACGGAGAGCAACGAGCCAGTCCCATCGGTCGGCGTCGGTCAGGGGGATGCCGTTGGCCATCTTCTCGATGTTTGCCTTGGGGTGGAACTTTGCGCACGCGAGTCAGACGGTACTATAGGGATACGAGGCAGGATTCTCGACTTACGCTGTCTCCCTCAATGTAAGGGAGCTTGAGATTTTGAGCGAGGTACTCGGCCACTGTTGTCTTTCCGCAGCCAGCCGGGCCAGTGACCAGCCAGATGTGGTGGTACTTGGTGTTCAGGTTGCCGTTGACGTGGGCGCCGTTGGCAGCAGAGGTCGGAACTCCGGGCACTGAAGGCTGTGTTTTGGACGCGACGGCTTGTTGGATGCCATTGGTGAGGCTCGAGGACTTCTGTCCGTTGAGTTGTCCGTTGACAGGCATCGGGGAGTCGTATGAGAGCATTTTCTTCGAATGTGGTTTGTAAGAATGGGGAGCGGATGTGAGTATGTTGTGGTAGTCGGAGTATGACGCTATCGCATCGTATAAACCAAGGTCGGCAGGGAAGACAAGGACGGAGAGGCAGAAGTGACGACAACACTAATGATGCAGTGAAGCTGAGGGTATATAGGATACGGACGGTTCAAGTAGTAAAGTAAGAGATTTGGGAATTTCTATTTTCAGCGCAAGGACATCTCGGGAGCAAGATCGAAGAACGAACGGGACGACGGCGCAAGGCGTTGTCTTATACTTTGTAAGTGACTCTGGCAGGGACTCTCACTCTGGGGGATCGATGAGGTAAAAAATTCCAACGGGGGAACACAAGGGGTGCTTGACGGCAGCTAAAACGCCTGGAGCGTCCAGCAAGTCCCAGTACATCGTACCTGACCTTCACCTCAGCGGACTTCTTTCGGGGCCTGGTAGGGACAAGGGGCTTGTCACTGAGCCGGGACCCAAAGAGCGGCGTTCCAGTGTCGTGCCGCCCAATGACCAGCCCGCAGCACCCCAGCGGGGAGAAATCCGTACTCCACAGATGACTGGGGGAGGGTGACTTGTCTCATAGCCGTAGGGGGTGCGCTCAAGACCGTCGTGTGTGTGTGCGTGCGTGCGTCCAATGTTCCTGACTGCAGTTTTCCATACTATTAGTCCCAGTACGTACGCTACGTACTGGCTCTCTCCACGGGGCCGGAGATGCTAAGGGGTTGCATCTGGGGACAGACGTGGGATCTGGGATCGTTCAATTGGACTGGACTGGAAACAACTCGTTCCTTTCGGTCGTGGGCCGTCCGGTATTAAGATCATCTTTGCTTATTCGTGCCGAGTTGAAAGCCTTGGACACAGAACAGACTGCAGACCACACTTGTGAGCTGAACAACCCTCTCATCAAAACCGACAGTGTGAAGGGCAGATCAAATACCGCAACAGCGGCACAGCAAGGGAGATCAACGGCAGTAGCAGCGTCAAAGTCTGGCAAAGTGGTTGCGTCTATTGCCGAGTGCCCCGACCGAACTCATATCCTCAAGGTACTGCGTAGTAGGTACAAAGCAGGTAGCGTAGCGCCGTTCGCCTGCACTGCGCGGCGCGGTGCGTGCGTGTGCAGCGGGATCTCAAGAGTTTGAGGACCCCGCGGGCCTGGTTCAGAGGAGGGTTGGGTTGGGTTGATTGTCCCAGGAAAAGTGATTGTCCAGGAGGTCCCCAGGGAGGAGAGGGGTGTGGGAATACAAACATTTGAATCTGACAGCGGCGGCGAGGGCGACGATGCCGACAGCAGGTGCGTCGCGGGCCCGGGGAGGACGGAGAACGGGGTTCGGTCAGGGAGAATGGAAGGATTTCGTTGGCTGAAGGGGCGAGGCATGACGATGCTATGGATGAATAGGGTCAAGAAGCCAAATTGGCGGGGAGGTGGTACTCTGAAGTCTGGGTACTCTGTACGCGGGCTGGGTGGGTGGAAGGGGGGCGTACTGCTAGGTATTGTTGATGTTGCGGTTGTGGAGGAGGCAGCGTGGGGGGACACACTTTTCTAGAACACACACTAGGAGATAATTTCCTGAAGCGGGCAGGGGACTGCGACTGGAGCGAGGTCACTCGACACGCAAGAAAAAACTCGGCCCTCAACCAGGCTGGGAATGCTAGGTGGGGGAAATGTCTCCGATAGCCGGCTGGGAAACACGGGAACTCAGGGAAACGGGGATTCTGGACGTTGACTGTGCATACCTGGGTAGGTACGGTAAGGTACGTTATGGCGGAGCAGAAGCCAAACAGCAGTCAATGCCCGCGGGGAACTGTAGGGCATCATTTGGTGACGGGACACTGCGACGGCACGCAAACAAGCGAGCGACTGGCTGGGGATGTTGCGTGGTGGACGGGGTAATAAATGGGGGACGGATGGGGGATTGCGGCATCATCGCGGAGTCAGTACGCGGGACATGATGTCGGGTTCGAAATAGAGACGATGCCCAACAAGAAAGGTCAGCTGGCGGGCAGGGAAAGAAGGAGGTTTCGGTCAAGGCCCGAAGAGCTATAATTACATCATAAGGAAGACACGGAAGGCTGATGGGTCACGAATCCACGGCGAAAGCAAGCTAATTAGTGCCTGCTTTCTCAAATATGCATCCCCAAAAAGCAGCAGGCAGTACTTCGTACTTCGCGTAGACCGTAAGGTATGAACAAACATCCACTCAGTCCTTGTTGCGAGACCGAAAAGCCTTTCTGAGAGTTGAGCTGCATCTCAACCCGTTGCTACCTTATTCGTACTCAACCAAGTAACAAGCCTTACTGCGGCTAGGGAAGTTGCTAAATCAACACAAGCACGACTACAAATACAATGAATGCTCTTCTCCTACCTTACTGCGTAGGGCCTCCGCCTGCTTTTCGGCTCGGCTGGTGTTCCGAGTGGGACCCGACAGTAGCCCGGGACTTGGTGCATCCATCCCATCATTTGGGAAAATTTGTGGTGTTCTTTTTTGCCCACCCCAAGTCCCATTCATCACCGTCATTTCATTCCAGCCATTCGGATTGCGTCCTCAGTCGCAACACTTCGTCTCTGCTCCAGTGCTTCTCCTCTTATCCACGGACCACGACTCTCCTCCACTGTGCTCGTTTTTGACACAGCGCAAACAAGCCAAACCCTCCGCAAGACTCCGCTAGATCCCAGTCCTTGCCCTGAGGTGCTGCGGGCAACCCACGCGCTGTTTGCTTGTCTTGCCTTGCCTGGCTGCTCCGACTCGTCGCTTTTCGCTCTCCCCCGATCCTTTTCTTTTTCGTCCGCCTTCTTTTCCCCTCCTCCTCCACGCTGACGCTCCTCATCCTGCACCTTCGACCGCCTTCTCCAAGTGGACCAAACAAATCACTCCAGATCACTCCCCGCCAACAAGTACCCAACACTGAACCCAGCCCAACGGTCAAGGGGGACCGACACGCGAGCGGACAAGGATGGGGTCTCTTTTTTCACTTTGCCCTTAGGGGAGTCTTTTCTTGACAAGTACCTCTCAGTACTCGGTACCCCTCTGCCTCGCTTCAGTTTGGCTTCGTCGGCCTCTCACCGCTCTCGTGATGAAGCAGCTGACTTGCTTCCTGGTGGGTCGCCCTCTAATTGCGAATTGGCCCATTTGATCGGTATTGGACGTCTCCATCAACCGTCGGCTCGGCTTTTGATCGTGACGTTTCGCGATAACCACGTTGCCGCCGTCGCAACACGGGCCATTCACAGCACGCGATCCTCTGTCCGTCCCAGCTTCTGCCGTAATCCGGCCCAAGGTCTGTCAATCTGGCAACTTTGCGATGCTGATGACAAGCCAACCTGGCTTGACATGCTGTTGAGTTCACCAGAACAATACCGGTGCTTCTGGAATGCATTCGCATGCACATTCAGTGTCAGCTCAAGTCATCGATGGCAATCGTCTGGCGGCCGATGGACACCTGCCTACCCCCAGGCCGGTCTATGCGTAAGGCTCTACCAGGGCCAAACACGATGCACAACATATCGAGCACTTTGCGAACTGCCTGCTCACGAGACACGGATACAAACCTACTGCAGGACGCAAGGTGAAACTACACTTCGTCCAGACCCAAGCTCCAAATGCACGGCGGATGTTCCCCGGTGGCCTTTGGTCTAAGCAACCCCGGTCACCGAGTTCCTTTTTGACAACGCTTGACCTGCCGCCCATTCGCCAAGCCAAATGGCCCCGAACAATCGGAAACTCCGGAACCGCAGGTTGCTTCCCCGGCCCAGAACTCGGCGAGATTCGACAGTGCTCGCAGGAGACGTCGGCTTCTCTACCCGGCCGAGTCGACGTCTTCAACGACAGGTCTGTTCACGCCACCATCGTGATACAGCAGTCGTCATTCTGCCGTATGCTCCATGCAATCTGGCACAGCAGGAACAGCCAAACGCTTCGCACCACACGCTTGACAAGTAGTCGACCAAACACTGCCACGTCCCAATCGTCGTGCGGCGCAAACCTGTCCCTATTTGTTCCTTGCCGATGATGCGGGGGGTTTTTGAAGCACAAGCGCCACCCCGACAAGGCGAGTGCGAGATATTGACCGCCTGTCTAGCTGAATGCGCACCACGTAACTTGCCAATGCCTCCAACTCTGCTGCATACCACCATTCAGCAGGTCACCAGACCGAGCTACAACCCCTGTAGATGGTCTCTTGCAGTCCGTCAGATTTCACCTAGAGGCTGAGTCTTTTTCTGCCAGTTCCGTCACAGCCAGTCAAGGCCGCCCATGTCATCTTCGCGTAGTCGCCTGTTCTTCGCTTGCCGTGGGGATGATGTTTTCGCGCCAAAGGCCAGACGTGTTCGTACTGCTCGGGCGTGCGGCAGGAATAGCGGCGATCCAGGTCATATATCATCAATCTGGACCTGGCTGTGAACTAGCTGCAGGTCGGCCTTCATAGGGCGGTTTGCAGAGGACGTAGCATGGTACTGCATGGTAAAGAGGCGAAATACCCCATTGGCTGTCGAACCCTGCATGCAAGGATACCTGACAGGCCCGGTCTGCGGGATGCACGCCGGACCCTCTCGGTGAGCAGACGGCATCGACAACGGGACGATACGTTGCCTTCCCCGTGGCCGGGAGGGGAAACGGATGCCTGATTGGTGATGCGTCTGGTCAGATTCGGCAAAGCAACAAAGGGAAACATACCTGCCATCTTGGAAGGATTCCATGATGTCTGGGAACAAGACGGGCGACGTGGTGTCCCAGACACGGAAACCATTGAGCTACATCTCTTTCATTACTTCTGTGTCACTCTGGCGTTGTGCGGGGCGTTGGAGCCTCGGTGAGCTCGAGGGGGAAGCATTGACATGGAGCCATGAGCCGACTCCTATCTCATCTCACATATGACATGCATTTGCTCCAAAATGCTTCCGCTGTCAATGCTGTCAGTAGCTTCCTGCGTTTGCTGATCTGAGTATGAACTGACTGCCTCAGAAGCCCTGATCAGGCTTGGCAAGTTGTCTGTACAAGTCGGCTCACATAGCTAGCTGGCTCTCCAAAGTCAAGGCATGACCAGGCTTCACCTGACGTAAAGTTGTCGCATCAACTTCGCTGAGTAAGCCTGCCAAGCAGGCCGAATTGGGACGAAAGATGATATGGTACAAAATATCAGCATGGCGGAGACAGCAATGATGACAGACGTGAGAGGTTGATGGACAAACGCTGTGCAGCTTTCTAGCTACAACTCTAAAGAGACTACATCTCTAGGGAACCCCACCAAGTCCCCACGCAAGAACGTTACCTAGGCTTGGGGGACGACAGTGTGACTAATTCGTATGGCGTACTGCGTAAGTTATCTTTGGCGTGGAATGTTCTCGCGCGAATATCTTCAGTGGCCTCTTTCCTTTGGTCCCCTCGCTTCCCCGGCCCGCCTTCTCGTTCTGAACAAGTCAGGCCCATCCCATTTCCAAAGGTTCCCAAAAGTGCCAGTGCCCCTCACTGTGGTGGCTGAAGCTGTGCTCCCGCCTGCCGGTTTAGGAAGTCGTCTGTGGCTTGTTGCGGGGAACATCAAAGTGAACAGACTTGCGCGTTCGGGCGCCGCCAACTGCCTGCCTCATCCAGCGTGAGCCAATGACCAGCTGCGGCACCATCTCGACTCCTCATGCGGGTTTCACCCATTTCCGCCCTCCAAAGGCTGTCCTCTTTGCGAGCTGCTTCTCCTTCCATTCATACCTCGCCGAGGACTCTCAAACCCAAATCGCATCTTCCCTTTACACTCACACAAACCTGCCGGCAGAGATTTTCCACAATGAACGCCGAGCAGCTCACTCACTACCTCGCTGATGCGCCCCCGAGCGTGGTCAGACTCGAGATCGAGAAGCACTTTGAGCCCCTCACCGACAAACAGAAGCGTTATGCCCATTTCATCAGCAAGTAAGGATACCACCCAAATCTCGTGCGACATGCAACCCATCTGGGCCGATGTGTGCCAAGCTTTTCATGGGGGTCGGGTTCCGGGAAACTAAAGTGACATCCCAGAGCCTCATTCGCCGGCACCCGCATCGTCCTCAGACAGATCTCCCCGGAGTCGGAGCCCATCTACAACTACATCATTGCCCTCCACAAGGCCAGCGGCGGTGATTGGAACTCCCTCGCCAAGAAGGCGGGTGTCAATGAAGCCCAATTGACCCACTTCCTCGAGTATGCCGCTCAATTCCTCGGAAACAATGGCAACTACAAGAGCTTCGGCGACTCCAAGTTCATCCCCAGAGCTGATGAGAAGACGTTTGCTGCTCTCGCCTCTACCTCTCCCGAGGCGGAGAAGTTCTACAAGGCCACCAACGGTGGCATTTTCAGCGCCGAAAAGCCCGGCCTGATGCACCTCGGCTTCCCGGACAAGGGCCACCTGACAACCTACTACCCTGATTCTCCCGACATCACCCAGGCTGAGATTGAGGCTGTATCTGGCTGGATGGAGAAGAAGGGTCTTTTGCCCGAAAACACCAGGCTCCGCAAGACGAAGGAGGGCAACTTTGAGATGCTCATTGCGTCCGCTGTCACTAGCGTTCCCGAGGAGGGAGGTGACATTGGAAAGGAGACTGAGTTCCAGATTGAGGATGGCCCTCTCAAGGGCAAGACGATCAAGCTTGTCTACGGCGACTACGCCGAGGAGATGAAGGCTGCTGCCGAGTACATCGCGAAGGCAGGCGAGAACGCCGACAACGAGACCCAGGCTAAGATGCATGCGGCCTACGCCAAGTCGTTCACCACGGGATCTTTGGAGGCCTTCAAGGACAGCCAGAGGTATTGGATCAAGGACAAGGGTCCGATGGTCGAAGCTGATCTTGGTTTCGTCGAGACCTACAGAGACCCTGCTGGTATCCGTGGTGAGTGGGAGGGTTTCGCCTCCGTCGTCAACATGGAGCGCACACGCGCCTTTGGCGGCCTCGTCTCAGCTGCTCCTAAACTGATTCCTATTCTCCCCTGGGATAAGGAGTTCGAAAAGGACACCTTCTTGGCGCCGGATTTTACTTCTCTGGAGGTTCTGACATTCGCTGGATCGGGCATTCCTGCTGGAATCAACATTCCCAACTACGACGATATCAGGCAGAACGAAGGATTCAAGAACGTCTCTCTCGGAAACGTCCTCAGCGCCAAGGCACCCAACGAGAAGATTCCTTTCATCTCCGATGCCGATCTGGAGCTGTACCAAAAGTACAGGGATCCTGCCTTCGAGGTGCAGGTCGGCCTCCACGAGTTGACGGGCCACGGCTGCGGTAAGCTGCTTCAGGAGACTTCTCCCGGAACCTATAACTTTGATGAGAAGAACCCGCCCGTCAGCCCCTTGACCAACAAGCCTGTCACCACGTGGTACAAGCCCGGCCAGACCTGGGGCTCAGTATTCGGCAGCATTGCTGCCTCATACGAGGAGTGCCGTGCCGAGCTGGTGGCCATGTATCTGGGATGCGAATTCCCCGTGCTGCAGATCTTCGGCTTCGGCGATGGCACCACTGACATCAACAACGAGGCCGGCAACGTCCTGTACGCCGCCTACCTGCAAATGGCCCGCGCTGGTCTGGTCTCTCTTGAGATGTGGGATCCCACGAGCCAGAAGTGGGGACAGGCTCACTCTCAGGCCCGCTTCTCGATCCTTCAGGTCAGTATTCCCATCAGCTTCACCTAGGATCATTCACTGATGTTACGCAGTGCTTCCTGCAAGCCGGTGACGACTTCTGCAAGCTCGAGTACAAGAACGATGATCTGTCCGACCTGGAAATCAAGCTTGACCGCTCCAAGATCCTGACGACCGGTCGTGAGGGTAAGTTCACTGCTGCAACTGTCCAAAGACGTGTGTGCTAACAACAGACAGCCGTCGGAAAGTACCTCCAGAAGCTTCACGTCTACAAGTCCACTGCCGACGTTGAGAACGGTATCGCCTTCTACAAGGAGATGACCAACGTCGAGAAGGAATTCTGGGGCACCAAGGTCCGCAACATCGTTCTCAAGAACAAGCAGCCCCGCAAGGTCTTCGTCCAGGCGAACACGTATCTCGACGAGGCCACCGGCAAGGTTAGCATCAAGCACTACGAGGCGTCCCCGGCTGGCTTGATCCAGAGCTGGGTCGACCGCGACTTGTGACTCCCCTCTTCATCGGAGTCGAGAACGACGGCGGCGGCGGCAGCGGCAGCCAAGTTGTAATGGGCGTCTCGACCAGGCAGACTTCACGACTAGGAAAAGGGGCATGATATGACGATGTAATTTTAAAAAAACTAAACAACCTGTAATACCAATGCCTCCGAGCAGGGGTTTTTGAGAACACTGAAACGAGAGCCTAACGGATGGTAATCTTGTCTACCATGTACACACGCACACTCTGGAGATTCAAGAGGAGAAAGAACCGCGGTTAGGCATCATGTTGCGAACGTGTGTCCATTTAGTCTCTGCGAATCATCATTTGTCTCATAAAATCACAAGCCCATTCTGTTTCTCGCTAAGTGACTTTTTTTGCTCTGCGTTTCTTCCGGTTGGGTTTCTTCTCCCCTTCGGTTGTGTGTGTGGACCAAGATTTTTATCTTTCTTTGTGTTGGATTTGAAGAACCTCATTACAGACGCCAAATGTGACCGATGCCGTCGACTTCCAAATGCAATTGGCAAAACCAGCCCAGCCCGTAGCCATAAGTTCTTCGTCGTCTACAACAACACAGTATCAACCCGAATTGATTTTTTTCCCCCAACCGAAAAGGTGTAGTTGTTTTGATTTCGCCCCGCCGCCGCGCAGCGCAGAAATACAGAACATCATATCCCCCCGCACGTTGTTTTCCCCGACAAACTCCGGTCATGTAAGGAACCGTTTACCAGGTCATCTCGTGGGGCTTGTCACCCTTGCGCAGGCTGAAGGAGCTCGCCAGGTAGGAAGGCAGAAACTCGACCTTCTTGATGCTGGCGATCAGGGCCTTGTCGACGGCCTTCTGGTCAGCCGCACGGCTGCTGTTGACCTCCTTCTTCTGTAGACACATTCCAGTCAGTATTCTGCTTTCCTTGCCATCACATATGCAACGTTATGTTCGCATATGTCGTCCGAAAACGTACCTGGGGCTTCTCTCCCTGCTTGAAGAAAGCCTCCTCACCAGCCTTCTGCTTGGTCTTGTCGGCGGTGAAGTACTTGGGTTGCGCGATCTCCTCAATCTTCTTCTCGTCGAGGCCGGAAACGTCGACCTTGTAGGATGTGGCGATGACGTAGCGGGAGTTGACGCGGCGGAGGGGGACGCCGTTGATCTTGAAGGGGCCGGTGACGAGGAGAACACCCTGCTCGAGGGTCTTCAGGAGGACGACGCGCTTGCCGCGGAAGCGACCGGCGAGGAGGATCAGGACAGTGCCGGGCTGGAGGGTCTTGCGGGGAGTCCAGGGGCGGACGGCCTTGCGGACCTATGGTGACATTCTCGTCAGTAATTATGTTCGCTCGGTGGTGGTTGTGTAATTCATGAATGTGTCATTCCCGGGTCACGAGCGGCTGTTCCTCCTCTTAATGTCTTGCGGCTGTTGCTTTCGTTCATCGAGTTGTGTGCACTTGTCGTTTTGTGTGTTGATTGCTTCTTCTCGGTGACTCGCGGGATATGGTGGCTCCTTGCGTTGGCGATTTTGAAGATTGTCGATGTGCGCGCTTCCAGGTTGTGGATTCCCATTTGTCCGCAAGACCTTTTTTTTTGTGTTTTCTCTTGCTCGTGACCCGGTGTGTTCTCGATCCTCCGCACAGCCAACAACCAAGTCGACAACCTGCTCAAAAAAATCGCAAGGACGCTCGCTGTGTGCAGAAACTCACCTTCTTGGCCTCGGGCTCATCGTCGGCGTTGTACCACTTCTGCGCCTTCTGGGATGCGGCGGGGACGACCCGAGTGGACGAGCCGAACTTCTTGGTCGTGGATTCCGTCTTCGCCGACATGATTGCTTTCGGTCCTCGTTGAGGCGGCTGCTGGTGGTTAGCGGGAATAGGGAAACGAAAAAGAAGTTAAAGGTGGTTGTTCGCGTTCGGAGGAAGCGAGGGCTCAGATACGTCGAAATGGAAATGTGTGGTTGTGGGTTTACTCGAAAACCCTCACTGGACTAAGCCTGTTTTGGCTGGCAGAAACTTCGCGCGGAAGCGGTAAGGGCGGTCAGGCAGGGTACCCCACCTCGGTGGACTGCCAGGCGTGTACCGCCACTGGGGGCTTGTGCACGCCTGCCAAAAAGACGAAAAAAAAAAAACCACGCCGGGAGAACATCGGGCCTTGCCTTCGGCTGTCCCGGTCCGGACCTTCAGGGCTGCAGTCACTGGACACCGAGCCCACGCCCGCCACTCAGTGCACCCAGTCGTTGTTGGCTGCGGCGGCCTGGACCCGTCTGCAAGGCATGACGGTGGGCCACGTGGTGATAAGATAAAGCTGTGTACTAGCACCCCTGGCCTCGCCGAATCTGCGAGAATGTGCCTGTGAAGTCTGCCTTCTTCGAGAGGTGACATCACGAAAGCATTGGATTTGGAGTATTTAGAGTTGCGTTTTCCTTCTTCCTACCGGCCTGGGTGGCTTCTTGACTTCTTTTTGACCGATTTGCTATTTTCCGGAGGATTTCAGCTACAATGCTTAGAAAACAACTCACCTCATCAGCCAGGCGTCTTGCTGGTTCAGCAACCCCAAGACCAGCAAGACTGTTCACAAGAGCACTTCCAATTCTCAACGAAAGTGCTCTCAGAAGCGCCAGAGTCTTACCAACGGTAGCCATCCGCACATATGCCAATGGCAGACCTCACCCACCAGGTGGCACCCACACCATGAACATGGGTGGCGAGCCTGAAAAGCCTGCACTTGAGCAATACGGCATCGACCTCACTGCGAAGGCCAAGGAGGGAAAGTTAGACCCTGTTATTGGCCGTGATTCCGAGATCCAAAGAACAATTCAGATTCTGTCACGGAGGACGAAGAACAACCCTGTCGTGATCGGAAAGGCCGGTACCGGAAAGACGGCCATCCTCGAAGGCCTCGCCCTGAGAATTGTGCGAGGTGACGTTCCCGAGAGTATCAAAAACAAGCGTGTTATCGCCCTCGACCTTGGCTCACTCATTGCTGGTGCCAAGTTCAGGGGCGACTTTGAGGAGAGACTGAAGAAGGTCTTGACCGAAGTCCAACAATCCGAGGGCGAAGTCATCCTCTTCATCGATGAGCTGCACACCCTGCTTGGCCTCGGCAAGGCCGAAGGTTCCATCGATGCGAGCAATTTGCTGAAGCCAGCGCTTGCTCGAGGCGAGCTTCAGTGCTGCGGTGCCACCACACTGGAGGAGTATCGCCTGATCGAGAAGGACGTCGCTCTTGCACGAAGATTCCAACCCATCATCGTCAACGAACCCACTGTCCAAGACACCATTAGTATTCTCCGCGGCATCAAGGACAAGTATGAGGTCCACCATGGTGTACGCATCACCGACGGTGCCCTCGTCGCCGCCGCTACCTACTCAAACCGCTACATCACCGATCGCTTCCTGCCAGACAAGGCCATTGACCTGATGGACGAAGCTGCCAGTCACCTAAAGCTCCAGCACGAGTCCAAGCCCGAAGACATCATGGCTCTCGATCAAAAGATCATGACCATCCAAATCGAGCTTGAAAGTCTACGGAAAGAAAAGGACGTGGCCAGCCAAGAGCGCCGCGAGAAGCTGCAGGCCGACCTGAAGAAGTACGAAGAGGAAATCGCCGAGCTTACCAAGCGCTGGGACGCCGAGCGTGCCGAGATTGAAGGCGTCAAGAAGACGCAAGAAAACCTTGACAAGGCCAGAATCGAGCTCGACCAGGCCCAGAGAGAGGGCAATTTCGGGCGTGCTTCAGAGCTGAGATACAGCGTGATTCCATCTCTCGAGGCCAAGATCCCCAAGGAGGGCGAGAAGCAGAACGGGACTCTCATCCACGATGCGGTCACAGCCGACGACATTGCCGCGGTCGTGTCGAGGGTCACCGGAATCCCCGTCTCAAAGCTCACCTCTGGCCACATTGAGAAGCTGGTTCACATGGAGGACAGTCTCCGCCAGGCAGTCCGCGGCCAGGACGAAGCCATCAAGGCCGTCTCCAACGCCGTCCGCCTCCAGCGCGCTGGCCTCAGCGGAGAGAACAGACCGACGGCCTCATTCTTCTTCCTCGGCCCAACCGGTGTGGGTAAGACGGAGCTCTGCAAGAAGCTCGCAGGCTTCCTCTTCTCTACCGAGTCTGCCGTTGTCCGCTTCGACATGAGCGAGTTCCAAGAGAAGCATACCATCTCCCGCCTCATTGGCGCGCCGTCTGGATATGTCGGCTACGAGGACGCCGGCCAGCTTACCGAAGCTGTCCGCCGTAAGCCCTACGCTGTCCTCCTCTTTGACGAGTTCGAGAAGGCGCATCGCGACATTTCCGCGCTCCTCCTCCAGGTTCTCGACGAGGGCTACCTCACCGACGCCCAGGGCCACAAGGTCGACTTCCGCAACACAATCATCGTCCTCACATCCAACCTCGGCGCAGACATCCTCGTGGGCGCGAACCCGCACCACCCGTACAAGGAGACGGCCGACGGCGAGATCGACCCCGATGTCCGCAAGGCCGTCATGGACGTCGTCGCCGCAAACTACCCACCCGAGTTCCTCAACCGCATCGACTCCTTCATCGTATTCAAGCGGCTGGCCCTCAACGCCATCCGCGACATCGTTGACATCCGCTTGAAGGAGCTGCAGGTCCGCCTCGACGACAAGCGCATCATCCTTGACGTCCCCAACGACGTCCGCGACTGGCTCGCCGAGCGCGGCTACGACCCCAAGTTCGGAGCCCGCCCGCTCAACCGTCTCATCACCAACGAAATCGGCAACGGACTCGCTGACAAGATCATCCGTGGCGAGCTGCGGCACGGCGAGACGGCTGTCGTCTCGGTCAAGCAGGACGGCTCTGGCCTTGAGGTCGCGGCGCAGAACAAGGATTAAGCAAGCATGTATTTCTTACGACTTATGAACTATTCTTTGTAATTGGGGAATTTTCCCTCTTCGGGTGTCAGGAGTAATTTGGGGGATGGATGGAATTCCCCTCTCACGATTTGTACTACAAACTGCATCTGCATCACCACTTAAGAACACATATGTCTGTACCTTAGACTGTACTTACACTGTTGAACATGAATAAGGATCAAACACACGTACACCATCTGATAATGGTCGTGCGCTTATACCCACCTTTGGTGTTTAGACATTTGTCCTCTTCGAACCTTCTGCCATCATCCCTGTGACGTAGGGTACCCACAACACAGTTGCGTTTATGAGAGTACATCCTGCGTCGAGAGGGCCCTAGTCGTAATGTATTTACACTTTAGATAGATCTAGATCGGTTCGTGAGCCGCCAACGAACGTCAAATGGTCGTCACTGGCCAGACAGGGCGAATTAGGTCGTTCAAGGCCGCATGTTTGGAAAGCGAATACAAGTCTATAAAGATTTTGTCCCAACTCTGGCTTAAACTACCTAAACCCCTCCAAGCCCAACAACAAACAACAGGACCGGAAGACATATAACAGGCAAAATAACCCCTGAAAGGAAATCGACCAGTCGTGAAGAACCTTGTTAAGCCGTCGTATCGTTAAAACCCCCTTTCTCCCCATACCGAGAATGGCTTGGAGAACCAGTCAACACCAGAAAAGATATAAAAAGCAAACACCGATTTCATGAGATTCGCATCGAAAAAAAGGCGAGAAAGCCAGGGTTCATGGTATGGCTTCTCCGTTGCATTTGGTCGGAGAACCCGTATAGAGTTGCTGCGTGTGCGTGTGTGGACTGTACAGATTTCCCAACCCAAGACGCCCCCTTTCTTCCAAAACGAAACTTGTCCTTTTGAGACCAGAATGTGTGCTTGCTGCGTCGAGAATGCCATTGTAGCGTGGCTCACGAGATGTCAGGGAGGACCACCACGGAAAAGGGGAGGGGGGATGGATGGACGGAGGGAGAAAATGCGGTAAATGAGTTATGGACTATTCGATTGCCTTGTGACCGGTAGCTGCTCTGCGAATTACAACCGTACCAGAGGGATGACGTGAGAGAGTAGCAGAAGAGAGGGAGTCCGTCCGGCTTCTCTTCGCGTCTTTTACTGGTGGCCCGCCTTGCGCAGGGTGGTGGCAAGCCACTCAAGACCCTCGTAGAGACCATCACCGGAGGTAGCGCAGGTAGACTGGATGTACTGTTTGGGAGGTCAGCGTGGCTGTCGTCGCGGTAAGGCACGAAGAGGATACATACCCAGGCGCGTTGTCTCAAGCTGTGGAGGCCAAGCTTGTCTGTGATCTCGGCAGCGTTCATGGCGTTCTATAGCAGAGTAGGTCAGCCGCATGTCCCAAGATGAATTAGGCTGGGACAGGGGGAAAAAGAACGTACGGGCAAATCCTGCTTGTTGGCGAAGACCAGGAGAATAGCATCGCGCAACTCATCCTCGTTGAGCATGCGCTGAAGCTCCTCGCGGGCCTCAACGATACGGTCGCGATCGTTGCTGTCGACGACGAAGATGATACCCTGGGTGTTCTGGAAGTAATGTCTCCAGAGAGGACGGATCTTGTCCTGACCACCGACGTCCCACACGGTGAACTGAATGTTCTTGTACTCGACGGTCTCAACGTTGAAGCCTGGATGGAATTCGCGTCAGCGGGGATTCTGAGAGATGTTTCCATTGAAGCATTGGGTTGGGGCTAGCGACGGCGGGCGGGGGCGCCACTTTCGTTGATGACACGGGGCAGGGCGACGGGACGATTGAGGGGGCAATTGTTGGGCATGCGTACCGATGGTGGGAATAGTCGTCACAATTTCACCGAGCTTGAGCTTGTAGAGAATCGTAGTCTTTCCGGCGGCGTCAAGACCGACCATCAGAATTCTCATCTCCTTCTTCCCCCAGAGCTTGTCGAAGATCTTGGAAAACGCGAGACCCATGGTTGCGATTCGGACTGTGGTGTATGTCTAAGTGTCGGGTTTAGGTTGAGAGGAAGAAGTAATCTGTTGAGAAGAAGTAAGTGTAAGCGCAATGATCCAGAGCGTCGAGAGAGCAAGCAATTAATTAAACAGTGGTGACGTCGAGAAAGGCGAGTGCGGGTGCGGGCGGCATATAAGGGTAGGGAAAAAAAGATGTGCCTCCCGAAAGAGGACAGATCTTTTTCGGAGACGGGATCGGGTCACTGACGACAGTGTGCCTGATGGCGCTGCTGACACGGGCAAAGGGCGAAGGCGGATGGGATGGATGGCGAGGTCCAAGTTTCGATGTTGAAGTTCAGGCTGCCGCAATTCGCAAATGGAGGAGATAGCGGGATAGGAAGAAGTGGATGTAGACGACAGGCGACGTGGAGGGAGGGATAGGGATATTGGGTTGGGGGGCCGTAGGGTGGGCTGCTCTCACTCAAGGCGGCGTAGGCCTCAGGTGGTGTATTCCTGAGGTGTCGTGTCCAGACCAGACCGATGCAGGCACGCAACGCACGCGCGCAAGAGCAACTTTGGCCGAGGGGGTGGTAAAGGGGAATGGGAAACCGAGAGACGAAGAAACGAGACGATGCCGCCACCAACACTTGCAGAGGCGAAGCTCGCAGCAGACGACCAGGTCCGGTACAGACAATGGACGCAGATGGATAAAAATTAGGAAATGGAAACCACTCACTCACTTCTTCGCGACGGGCTCCTCGACGACGGCGACGGGATGCTTCTTCGATGGGGGTGCGGTTGTGATTGTCGGTGAAGGGGGGAGACAGTCAAGTGTCGAGAGGTTAAGGTGGAATAGAGGGGTGGCCTTTGGTAAGATAAGTTCGGCTCGGCGAGGTTGGTGGTGATTTGGGGGACCAGAAAGGCCATGTTTTTCAAACTCTGAGTCTCCACTCTTGACCACCGCTACGAACGGACGCCACCACTCGCTGGACCGCCAAGGTGTACCTCTGGCAGCTAAGGGGGCGCTGAAGGTACCTGTCACGCCTGCTTACCTCGCCTTCCTTGCGTGCTTGCTTCTGCTGAAGCCCAACCACGGGCCACTCAAAACCACTCAAACATGTCCCCTTTCCATCCCTTCCAGCGCTCTTCGACCACTAGAGACCCTTCTGAAGCACCGAGTACCCGCATCACGTGGGACCCGCGCTAGCCCCTTTCGGGGTCAGCCTCAATCCAACCAAACTTCGCCAAAGTGTCCAGACTCCTGTGACAGGGATCACCTCCAAGAACCGATCTGGAGAACAGCCTGGACACAACCAACGTCGCTCCTTTTTTTCCCCGTGGCCCTGCTTGCCTGCCTGCCCGCCTCTGCCTCACGACTACGGAATAGCTCGTGACTCTGCTGCCGTAGCAGTCTGACGTCTCTCTGGCCACCGATAACATTGAGCTTCTCGCACCCCCCTAGCTCCTCCCGCAGAGCTCCCGCCGTCATGATCTTCCCTTCGGTCGCCAAGCTGCTCCTCGCAGCTGGCTTCGTCCACTCGGCTCTCGCCCACAACATCCAGCTGCCCGCCCACGGCCGCGAGTGCTTCCACGAGTCGCTGCACCGCGATGACAAGATGACCGTCACCTTCCAGGTCGGCGACCGCGAGTTTGGCAGCGCTGGCAACCTCGATATTGACTTTTGGGTATGAGGAATCACAACGTCGCATATGGGTCTTGGAAACCGCGGTTCTACGCGCCCAATGGCTTCATCAGTGGGATTGGGACGTCAAGTGCTAACTCTGTGGCTTGGTAGATCACGAACCCCATGGGTCAGTACGAGACCTTCGACAAGAGTGTCTCCAACGGTGACTTCTCCTTCGACGCGAAGCACGACGGCAAGTACACCTACTGCTTCGGAAACGAGCACTGGGGCGCCCACAGCAAGGAGGTGTCCTTCAACGTTCACGGTATTGTCTACGTCAGCGAGACCGATGTTCCTGCCGATCCCCTTGAGGTCGAAGGTAAGATGAGAAAGCCTTGAACATGCCCCATGGGTCATTTAGTCTAACAAGACATCCTCCAGTCAAAAAACTCTCCGAACTGCTCGCTCAGGTCAAGGACGAACAATCCTACATTGTCATCCGTGAGCGCACCCATCGAAACACCGCCGAGAGCACCAACAGCAGAGTCAAGTGGTGGAACCTGTTCGTCATTGGCCTCGTTGTGGGAGAGTCCGTCTTCCAGGTGTGGTGGCTGCGTAGATTCTTCGAGGTCAAGAGAGTTGTGTAAGTTTGCGCAAGTTGTTATCGTTTGCGGGATACCCGTGCTGGGACGACTGGTCGGCGTATAAAAGGCGGTCCTCTGCGGGTTACAAGGCAACAGGCTTAAAAGCTTGGTCTTGACTCTAGAGACCTAAAATGCATGTACAATGTATCATAATCACACATGAATGGACGAAAGATGAATGGTTCTGAACATCCCCATTTTCCATATACGTTAACCTCGACTGAGATGGTTGTGCAAACTCTCGCTTAGGGAATGGCGCGACAGGAACTATGACAGGCTCGTTGGGTGCGAGAACCACTTGATGGGGAACCAGGAGAAGCCAGAAAAGCCGTGAACGACATACATCGAGGGGTTTCCTCAGCCAACCTGTTACAAGAAGACACGTTGGACAAATGCAGCGAGAGGATATTGCGGCATTAGCCTTGGATGACATGGAGGAAACTAGGTAGTCATCATGTTCACGAAAGGATTCCGGTTTTCGTCAGACGGGGTGACTCTTCTCATAGTGTCAGTGCGCCTTCTTAATGCCACCTGTAGTTCAGGCCCAGCCAGCCTGTTGCTGGAACGGCACTAGACAGCAAGGCTTAGATCGTGTCCGAGCCAAGGAATGTCAAATGTCTTAACGGCCGCCTCTCCCAAGACTTCTGCCACCTGTCAGAACGAAGACTGAATTCCAGCTGCCTGGGCATAGCTCCAACGGCGCAGCCCACCGACATCTTCCAAAGAGGCATCTGATCACAAGACAAGGTAGGTGTCAGTCAGTTTGTCAGGACAGATTTTGCAAAACGCTGCATCGTTTGAAAGCTTGAATTGTAATTTGTTGTTGGTCATCGCTGTGGCCATGTATGACTCCCTCTAACCTGACAGTCATTATGTACATCATCCATCATGTATACGGCCAATGCATTATGCCTTTCCTACAATCGACACAAATCCGTATCGTGTGGCCTTGAAAAGAATCCAACAAGCCAACCCCAAGACGCCATACCATCTAAAAACAACCAAAAGGTGGCCTTTATTGTAAAATGAAAACAAAAACATCATCCGTCATGTAGCCAAAGAGGGCCCGCTAATTCATGCATTGGGATCAGACTCAGGAACGGCATTCTCCTTGTCTTCCTCGGGTATCGCCTCCACAGGCAACTCAACACCCTTAACGGGGTGGATGAGCATTGGCGGCAGACACATGCGGCCCTCGCCGCCGCGCATTTGGCCGACGCTCGAGCCATCCTTGGTGGTGTCCTCGGTCTTCTCGAACTCTTCGCCACCGTCGTTGTTTACCCTGAGGCCAAGCCATCTGCGGTACAAGTTCGGGGCGAAACCAGAGTTGTAGAACCAGGACAGACCACGCAAGTTGTGCTCGCGCTGGCCAAACACAGCGGTGCGAGAACCACCACTAGCGCCGTTCTTGCCACCGTTGAGGACCTGGGCCATGTACTCTGTGGGCCACTCCCTGTCGACATACATGGGGTGAGGTGCGAAGACGGCCTTGTATCCGTGGTGGAAGGCGACCGTGGCAGGCCACATCTCAGGGAATGCGAAGTGCTTCTTGAAAGCCGTCTCGCGGTGCATCGTCATCAAGAGGCGACGAGACATGCGTGACGCGGTGATGATGTGCGCTCTTCTAGGAGGCATACGCTCGTTACGGTTGTTCTTGTTGTATCCGGTAATGTCCTCCGACAGGAGCCAAGTGGTGCCTTCAGGATCGAAAATGGGGTTGAAGGAGATCAGATCAGCCTCCTCGCCGACTCCCCACTTGTACTTGTCCTTCTCGTAGCTGGTAGGAGGCTTGGGGTCCTTCTCGATCTCAAACCAATCCTCCTCATTCAGAGGTCGCTCCGGACCCCAAATGGTCTTCTCTGCGCGGGAAACTTGGGTGGGATCTTTGCCGTCCTTGCTCTTTGCGCCGGGCATGTTCTTCCACATGTTGTCGGCTCCGTCAGTGCCCATCTCAGATTGAACGCGAGCCATCTGCCTAAAGTCCTCCCATGAGCCGTGAACACTTGGGAGGTAGAAACGGGAGTTGCGTTCCCAGAGGCCCTTTCTAGGCTGCTCCTTGGCCCAGTCCTCCATCTTGCTGAAGAGATCGTAGTAGTGTCCAGTGTAGCGGATGTCCATCTCCCAGGACCAGTAGTAGTCGTATTCGGGGTGCTGGTACGCGAAATACTGCATGGCCATCGAAAGACCGCGGTAGACACCATGAACGGGCAGGTCGGGACCACGGGTGAACAGGTCAAAGAGACCCTGGTAGAGGGACAGCATCTGTGTTTCGGTCCACAGCGTGACAAGACCTCTGAACTCTTCGGGAATGCGTTCCCTAATACGGCGCTCATAAACCTCATGGTCGGCGAAGACGGGGTGGGCGGCGTCGTTCTTGATCTGAACGAGAAGGTGGATGTCGTAGCGTCCGCCAGAGGCCAGGGCCAACTCGGAGATGACAGATCGAACGTTCATAATGTCGTCCTCGCGCCAGTTGTACTCGTCCCAAACACGGATCACGACCGCAGTGCGAGCGCCCTTCTCATCGTCTTTCTTTGGTTCTTCGCTGATAGGCTTGCTCTCGGTCTTCTCCTCAGGCTTGCCATCTTGGACGGGCTTCGCGGTGGGCTCCAAGTTGTCCAGCGGATCGCGGGCGACCAGGGTAGCATTCTGAACAGGCTCGTCGATGTAGAAACCACGCGCCATTGGGACCTTGGGCGGCATGGCCTTGAATCTTTGCGAATTGGACTGGTAGCAACGTTGTTGAGCATCAG